GATATGGTTCAACGTATTTGAAATACGGCTTTGCATAACATTCCGGAATTTCTTCAAAAGCTCGAGACAGACTTAAAAAGAAGTCCGAAACTTTCGTCATTCTACGTCTTACTAATTGAACCACGCAACAAACGTGTAATGCATACTTTGCATCCTTCGCAACTCGGTACACTGTAATGGTTCCCTGAGGCTTTATCACCGCACACTGCGCATAAACGATCGTCCTCTTCCTGATTTGAATCCAGCGAAGCTAATGCTTGCCTTGGTATACCGAAACAATTATAGACTGCAGATGGGAGTGGTCGTCCATCTGGTGTGATCAATATCCCGCTCGTCGTTATGGTATATCCTGGCAAACTTTTGAAGGATGCAGGAATAGTTGAAGGTCCCGGTGTTTGTACCATATGATTTATGCAATTTTGGATAGCTGAAACGATTCTGAAAGTTAAAATTAAGCAGTTAGAGAGTGACTGGTTGGAAACAAGAAGATTCGAGACATTTTAAAAGCCTTCCGGGTAATACTGTCGGGTAGATCAGTAAGTATGCCAACTTTGACTGATATTAAGAAATATCTGCTTTCCCCTCTTTTCCTAAATTCTCTTATGAATTTCTAGAAGATTGTGCAGAAACATGAGCTCTGTTTCCGATTCTCCTATCAATGAATATGAAAATTGCACGTACTCTGTTGTGAAACTGGATACGGTAATACGTTTTGGGCTGGCATTACCGGCACTTTTGTTGTTGCCCGCGGACTTGATGCTCTCGTTTGATTCAACATCATAGCTGTTGGTTCCGTTACATGCTTCAACACATCTATTCCGTCTCTTCCTTCATTTCCTACTAGAATATTGCTTACGGTAAATGAAGTAGACCAGGATGGCTTATCAAGTGATATCTGTTCCCGTTTATTCGTCGAATTCAGGCTCATTGAGATTCCGGAATCTAAATGGAGCTGTGATAACGTACTCGTCGCATCAGCATTTATGCTATCATTCCTTGATGTATTCTTAGACATTGGATGAGTTCTTTCCGAGGTAGATCTGTCTGACGAAGTGAGCGATAAATGAGTAACACCAGATGAATCATTCGTCTTTGTTCCGCATTTGGGATTCAACTTATTGAATCGTTCTTGGATTGTTCTCAGCGGTGTAATTATTGGCTGACTGATCTGAAAAAAATTTGCCTTATAATGGGTAATGAAAATGAAAAACAACATAACTATTCCACAGTATACTGTTCGTGAAACTTCGGAATAACAATATTAGAAAGATCGAAGCTTCGAATTTTCAAAATAATCAATCTGTGTGCATTTGTAGTGCCATCAGTTCTAGCAATTAATAAGAATGCAAAGATTTGAAATGAACAAATTGTTACCATCTCAGCGGTGTTCTTTCTTCCGCTTTCATTCATTTCCACTTCATTGTGCTGTTGCTCATAGTTGTTTTCCGTCGGTGCAGCGCAATACGGATGTGGCGATAGGACCGGTAGTATTTCGGCTGCTGTTTTGTTTGATGAATCACTTTCGGAACGAGAAGTGTCAGTATTAGATATATTATCTGCATGTCGAGTTTTCACTACTGGTTCAGACAATGCTGAAGTGAATGGGGATGATCGTTTCTGCTTAAGCAATCCGGAAGGGCTTTGTTGCTGGTCGAAAGTATTGCGATTTGTGATTGTATCCGAATGCGTAAATGGAACCATGTTGCCAAGCGTTAGATAGGTTGGATGCAGATTCTTCCTTTCATCCTCTTGTTTTTGTTGTTGAAGATTCTGTATCGACTCCTTCTGTTGGTCGTATTTCTGAACCATCGAAACGACCGCTTGTGGTAACGGTGGTAATGGCATATTTTCGGCAGCCGCTGCATTCCTCGCATGTTCCATTAGATGTTCCGTTAAATTTGCGTAATGCATCGCTGCTTCGTGCGCTATTTTGGCTTGTTGTTCAAATGATAGCAAATACCTGTATGGCGATTGGTCATTTACTAATGGTGGTGGAATAAAAGATGACGCTGACAGCCCTGCATTGTTGGCTGCAGCCATCGGAAGTAATGATGTGTGTCCTGCTGTCGGAATAGTTGGAGTGACAGAAGCCACACTGATCATAGGAACTGATGACGAATTCATCGCACTGGTTCCTTGTGGGGCTGGAAAAGGTTGTAAGAACCGATCAAATATTGTCCCATTCGCATTGATACCCATTGAGTTGTGTTGTCGAAGAGGACTTGATAAAATCGCCGAGGCGGAGTGAAGACGTGGGTCATTACTGATGATATTGGCGTAAGGTGAAATATTTGGTTGCAAAAGTGATGGATTGAAGCGATCGGTTGGGAACAAAAAATTCCGATTATCATTATTGTTATTGTTAGGTGCACAGTTGTTTGTATCATTAATGAACGCAAAGGCGCCACGATTGTTCCGGATGTTTAAACCTGGTGGGACGGAATTGCTGATTGGTGTGAATCCAGTACATATCGTCGTGTTAACCGTTGAACAAGTAGTAGTTGGTTCAGGAATACGAAATGAACTCGAACTCTGCTCCTCTTCATTTGGACTTGTTCTTGAAATGTGTCGTCGTGACATCTTTTTTCTTCTCCCACAATCAGGCTTGAGATTGTTTCAAGCCAATTGTTTCAATAAATTTTGGAATAAAGCTAGGCGGGATATTCTGAGGTACAGCCCAGGATATCTCAAATTGTAACCGGGATTCCTCTATCAAAACAGTGCATGCACCGGGAAGAAAATGAAAAATGGAATTGTCTAAGGATAATGGTAGCAGCTAGAAGCGATGTATGGGTCGCTGCAAGTCATTGCACTGAAGAGTTAGAGGTGATCCACCGAGGTGGCGTGGTTAAGATGTGACGTAATATGATGTGATCGGTGAACTTGACCTCATGGTAGGTACATTATGGAAAAATACCTGTAAACAACATAGACGCAGAGGCAATCCTTGCTATTATTTCGCATCTTTGACAGTCAGCAATGCGAGGGAGAAGCAAAGGTTAAATGGACAAGATAAATGGACATTCAAGGGAAAAGCAATCCCCTTTTGTCGGGAACTATACTTTGTAGACTTCCGGTTGGAATTCTCAAATCACCAGACTTCACTTACTGTAATTTTAAACGATTCATTGAAACATTGCAAGTTGGGCAGTTCGAAGATCAGATTGTCGAGTCTATTTGCATTTTTTTTTTCCCGCAGGAGTGGCTACAACCATTCTCCCTTCAACACCAATGAGAAAGTAGAAAGTAGATTTAAGCTTTATGCTTCATTTTAATGAACATTTATTCAATTTACAAAAATATGTGCAATAAAACTTTTCCTTCAGAATGAGAAGAATGGGATGGTAAAGCACGGATGGAAGGGATAATTATCAGAGAAAAGAGGGAATATTTCGGGCAAGACAGAGAGAGAGGAAATTTTAGGTAGCACAAAAAGAGAGAGCAAAAGCGTCGGGCAGGAAATTTCCTCTGCATTAGCTGACGTAATAATTATTATTTCTATCCTCTCTTAGTTGCAGTGTAGTTCGCTTACCGTATAGCTGTTGCATTGGCGTAGTGACCACTAGACAAATTTGACCTGATGTCCACCAATTAACTATAACGCCATAACTCTTCCCCTCACTATGGAAGGAATCCTCGTATCATGCAAAGAATCGCTGAGTGTCTTTCTCCGCTCTCTTCCCTTTTTTTTGCCTCTCTCTCTCTCTCAGTCTCCCCACGCATTCCCCATGATGTTAAGGTGTAGAAATTCGTAAAAATATATAAACGTAAGGTTAAATTTTCTTTTCATCATTTATCGCCGCCAAATGATAAGCGGTATTAATCGATAATAGAATCCTTTGAATAACATCGGGTCAAACATTACCACTGCTCTGATCCACGAATTTGCATATTCGATGGTTGAAAGGGTGAAATGGAAGATATTAATTGTTCGTAAATAATATCAAATCGATAATCATAGTTTATATGGGTAATTAACACTTTGAAGTCCTGCAAATATGAAGGTTACTATATCAGTTCTTCTATAGCATTCTGATCTCAGATAAATTCTTTTGTCCTGAAGCGGACTTCTGTACCATAATTTGAATTTCGAAATTGTATTTCTTATTTCTCAATTTGATGTCTTCAGGTCATATATCTAAGCGTTTGGCATGCAAGCAGAGGAGACAAAAGAGGACAAATGTTGTTCAC